GTTGCATCAGGCAGAAACCCTGCCCTAAAGGAGTCAAGGTCATGACCAGGAGAAGGGAACCTTGTTAGTCTCATCAGGAGCACACAGGGAGGCTCTGACATGACCTGAACCGTGGGAAAGCCAGACCAGATCAGGCAGCCTGAGACCGACCACTTAAGGGGAGCGACACTGACGTCAACAGGGGGCATCTCTGAAGACCCAGGTTCTGGCCCACTGGCATCCAAGCATGAGCCACTTGGCCAGGGCTGTGGGCAGGGGCAGACTCTCTTTCAAGGGCTGGGTGAGGTACGTGGCCTCAAATGTGTCTGTCCATGCGCCCAAAGAAGGTCAGCACATTGTGCAGGGAAAGGAGAAACAGGCTGGCCTGGGGCAGAACGTCCTCAGAGAGAGGAGAGGCCAATGCACCAGGACTGGCTGGTAGGGAGTGACTCAAGCTGGAATATGAGGGTCTCTTGAACTGAGATTGAGTGGAGCTTCGGTGGGAGGCACAGATGGGAAGCCACAAAGCATCTTCCTCAGTGTAGAGAGAGCTGCAGTCGGATTAGAGGAATAACAGAACCTTTCTGTGGCGATGGACACTGGGAAGTATAGATTAGGTCTTGCAAGCAGGCAAAGTAGGGCCAATTTTACTAAAGGCTAGAGGGAGAATTCAGTCATTGGTCACCAGCAGGGACACACATGATCTTGATAAGGGTAGTTGTGCCGTTGTAATGTACAGTATTGCTTGTAATTATGCCAGTGGAAAGGGTTTGTCCAATACTCACCATAGATATGGTGTTAAAAATTAAAAGTGTGTGTGTGGGGGCTCTCCCTGGTGATGCAATGGGTTAAAGCACTGCATTATGAAGCTCTCTGAAGCCACTGCAGCACAAGTTCGATCCCCCGCCAGGGAGCTGACCCACATTGCGTGGCAGAACTCCCCTGACCCACCCGTTGCTCCCCTCAGCAGTGTATTTCAGTACATCTGCCTGTTCTGCTCCCCACTCTGTCTCTACTGAGTCCTCTCACTCACACCTCTGGCCTGTACCCCAGTTCTGTAAGCATAAATAAATAAATCTTTAAAAAAAATGAAAGTGGGGAATGTAACTGGGTGGCTGAAGCCAAGAACTGTTGCAGGTGATGTCTCTCTAGAGGGTTGCTTGTGAAGACAAATAGCCCCAGGGATAAGGTTTAAAAGTATGGGGTTTTGAAGAGGGGCTTCATTGGAGAGTAAATAGAAGGCAGAAGGCAGAAAGGGAGAGAATAGAGGGTTGCTTGTCCATTTTCAAGGATTAAAAGTTTGAGTTTCAAGTTTGAGTTGCTTTAGCATTTGGGGGGCCAGTGGGTTTCAGCTCTGGACCACCCTGATCTTGGAGAAGGCCGCTGTGCTTCAGTAGCCAGCCTTGGAGAGGAAGAGGCTGAGCAACCAAAACGGTTCCTGGTTTTGCTGAGGTCACAGCCTCTCTAGCTGCATCAGTGAAACTGTTTGCCAGGCCATTTTGGTGGCTGCTGTCCTGAGTGTTGCTCTTCTGGTGCTGTGCTGGTGAGTGCTGCAGCTCGGAGGGTCTCCTGGTATGTCTTCTGTTGTTGTCATGAGTTGGAACCTGGCCCGGACTCTGGCTGCTGTGTGCCCCAGGGTGGCAGAGGCAGGAGGACACCATCTTAGACACATGTCTGTTGTTCAGGAGAGGAGCTGCATACCCTCAGGGGCAAGAAGATGCCATCCTAACGGTCTTCGTGCACAGTTCTGGACGTGCCTTTGGATAAAGTAAATTGCTATTATTTGCATCAATAACTCTTCTTTTTCCCATTTGTTAAATAAATCCTTTGTTATTGCTAAGCCTGAGTAGTCTTGCAGTTGTGTGCATGGGTGAAGAACCCAGACAGTGTTTGGTAAAGTATTTGGGCAGCGGGACCTTGGCCATTTTACTGTCCCCTGCCACTTAGCTTCAGTCTTAGAGAAATGAAAGTCAAAAGGCTTTGACAAGAAGCCTGAGAGTGGACATTATCCGATGCAGGGCAGAAGCTGGTGTCTCTCGGTCTAATGACACATGTTCACTTTGTGTTTTGTGGGCCATGCCAAGGGACTAGAAGTCAAAGCCCACAGTCAATAATGGAAGAGAACTTAGGACACGCAAAACCAGATTGGCCAGAGAGAAGCAGGAAGTGCATCAACACATCTGCCAAGGATGCTGGCTTTCCTTGAGATTGCCCAAGAACTCTGGCTCTGTCCACTCTGGCAAACCTCTGCAGAGTCAGGCATCAGACTAGTGAGGGCTGGCATGCAGGCTTAGGAATTGACACCTGAAGTGCAGGACACTGAAACCACTGCAGCTTTTAAGTATGAGCAAGTAAATGAAATGAGGAGCAAAAGGCAAATTGTAGTGGAGAGACAGCTTCCGGGAAGTCCATGATGGTGGCTACTACAGCAACTCGGAGTGATATAGTATGGGAGGAAGCAGTGCAGAGCAACAAAAAAATAAAAAAGAGGAACTGCCAAGAGAGGCGTGAGTGGGAACCAGAGAGCAGGAGATTGAACAGGGGATAAACTTGGTACTGTAGATTGTAAAAATGGCCACAACTATGGGTGGATAACTAGAAACATAGGTGGAGGGGATAGAGTCCACTCTAAAACGCTTTTAAGTTTTTTGCATTTTGGAAAATGTACACAATAAAATGACAATGAAAACAATGGCTAAAAGCAATTCCCCTTCTATCTGTGCTCTTGCAATATAATTGTACACATTTCCCAGCAAGGAGTGGACTGTTTTCTACTCTGTGAAGCTGGGTTGGCTACACAACTTGATTTGAACAATGGGACATTAGCAAATGTGACATACACGTAGGTTTGAAAGCTGGGCTTTACCATATTGTGTTTGGGGGCCCTGCATCTGCCATTGATCATATAACCACCCTGGGCTAGTCCTTTGGTTGATACAAACACACAGTTGCCCCCATCACTGCAACCTACAACCAGCCAATCACCACAGTCTACTATGGCACCAGGAGCTGTTGCCTGATCACAGATGTGCGACTGAGCCCTGTGGAGAACAGAACTGGCCCGCTGAGCGCATCCCAGTTTGACACCCCCACAGAATTATGAGTTGTGGTGGCCATTTTAAGCAAATAATTTTGAGGAAACCTGCTATGTGGCAAACGTTCACCCACACTTTCTGCTCATCA